GCCCATCGACCAGCGCAGCTCACACTGGAGGCTCCTGTTTCCTTGGCTCAGCGGCTGGTGGAGGTTAAACCTCACCGGCTCCGCCAGCTTTTGGGGAAAGTACGGGATCCCCTGGGAACAACGTGACCCACCTCGACGGGAGCGCAGCACCGCTGCAGTGCCGGGCTGGACGGGTGGGTGCGGGGCAGAGAGGAGGGGGACCAGGAGACAAGGCAGCAGCATCGGAGCGGAGATGCGGGTCTGAGCCATAGGTGCAGCCCACGCGCCCGGCCGCGGGCGCAGGAGCGCAACGGCACGGTAACACCTTACACCTGCGCCAGCAGCGACTCTCCCGGTCACAGCCAGCTCCATGAGCCCAGGCACGGGGATGGCTCCGCTCCCTGCTCCGAGCCGGTTATCCCGGCACGCTGCTCCCCAGGGTCTGCACCGGCCGCTTATTCCACAGCCTCAACCTCCAGGCTCCGGTTCAGAAGAGATTCTATTAAAAACGACCCGCACGGATGGTTTGCGGAGCCGTGTCCTCTCTCGTTACAGCACAGCGGGTTTTGTTCAGAGGAATTTTGGATGAGAGCCTGCTACGAGACAGCGATCCCTCCGTACGAGCGGAGGAGCCGGCTATCGCCTTACCAGCTTCAGGAAATCCATACTATCACGTCTCAAAATACCCCTGGCCTTGCCAGGGATGGGATGACATTTCATTTGACCGGTGCCCAGGAGGTCATCAACAGTCATTAGCTGGGAACAGCAAAATGAAGGACAAACGCCAACCCTGTCATCAGCCCTCGGAACCTCGTGCCACAGACACTTTTATCGATGGCTGAGCGCTCGACAGCAGCCTCTGCGTAAGAGGGACCAAGACTTTTTGCAAGGGAGTGTAGTGACAGGACAAGGGGCAATGGCTTTAAGCTGAAAGAGGGGAGATTTAGATTAGATCTAAGGAAGAAATTTTTTAAAATGAGGGTGGTGAGGCACTGGAGCAGGTTGCCCAGAGAAGCTGTGACTGCCCCATCCCTGGAAGTGTTCAAGGCCAGGTTGGATGAGGCTTTGGGCAACCTGGTGTAGTGGAGGGGTTCCGTGCCCATGGCAGGAGGGGTGGAACTAGATGATCTTGAAGGGCCCTTCCAACCCAAACCATTCCATGATCCTATGATTCTCCCCATTGCAGCAGGCTCTATCCCTCCATCCTCAACCTGATCTGTAATTTAATTGGTTTTAACCTGTCTCTTCTCATCACAAAGCTGCTGAGCATCCTTCAGTGCAGCCTGCTTAGATGGTCAAAAACGGGCAACACGCACCTTTGCGTCCCTCTCCGCAAACTTTGTGAACATGTTGGCGTAGATCCTCCGGTCCCGCTCGTTGTGCTCCTTCGTTTTTTTCTGGCAGACGGAGATCTGGGATTTCGCTGCTTTGTTCTGTGGATTCACTTCCAGCACTTTTTGGAAGTCACATTTTGCCAACTCAAACTCGTTCATCAATAACCTGGCTTCGCCTCTCCGGTACAAGCCCTTCTCATTGTCCTGGTCCAGTCCCAGTGCCTGGAAACACACAGGTCCCCATTAGTGACTTGGGGATCCCCCAAAGATCCCTTTACGGTCAAAGCCTCATTAAATCTGCCAAAATTAGGACAAAGTGGCTCCAAGTCTCCAGACCATTTGTATTTTGCTCAACAAAAATCTACTCGTCGTCACCAGCAGCTGGCAGGTCATTAACACGGTTTAGTTATTTCTCCTTGCTTAAAGTCCCCCCAAGAGCGGCAGAATTGGTGGGAGACAAACCCACAGACAAGAAACCAGGTGTAAACACTAAACCTGAGCCCAGAGGAGCACGAGGAGCTCGCAGGCTAGAGAAGCTGATGGATGAAACATGTTTTTTTCTCCCTGCTTTAACAATGACATTATTTTCCATCAGTAAAAGCCACACACACATCTCAGAGATTATTTACCTTCTAGATTAAGGCAATCATCAGCTTTATTACCTCTCTCACAGGCAAAACGTTTAAATCTAAGCCTTTTATAAAAGAATTAACAGTTTCCTGACAAAGACAAGGTTGCAGCTCTTTTAGGGACTGGCAAAGCCCCAGCCCAGCCCTCTACGGACTCGGGGATCCGCTGCAGCTCCAGCGCAGACAGCCTCTGCGTACCCGGATCAGCACCCAACACCCAGATCCAGCCTGGGCAGACCCCAAACAGCATCCTAAGGCTGTCACTCCAGGCAGTAACCCATCCACACAGATCCAGCTTTGGAAGAAAAGCTGTTGTAAATGCACACCCGGGTGGATTTTGAACCCCAAAAGGCCCTTTCGCTCCTGCAGTCTCCGAGCACACAGCACCCATGGAGACCTCGAGGCGCAGAAGTGACGCCGCCGTCCTGCTGCTGTTTGGAAATCGCTTCTTATATGAAAAGAAATCAAAAAAAACCCCAACCCCAAACTCCCAATGAAAACGCTGCAGGAGGAGAAGATGCTCCAACCCACCCCGGGCTCGGGCACCTCTACCTTATCGCAGCACTCGACGGCTTTGGCGTATTCTCGCAGCTTCAGGTAGCACATGGCCAGGTTGAGGAAGGCAGCCAGGAGGAAGGAGTCGGAGGCTTTCGACTCTTTCTCGGACAAGCCATACTCCATTTCCAGCCAGGACACGATCTTCCCGTACTGAATCACTGCCTGCAGGTATTTGCCTTCCTGGGATGGAGCAAAGAAGAGGCTAGAGGGACCCACACCGACAACGGCCCGCTCCCGACACATCCCGCAGATGTTTACCGTGGCGCGTTAAATAAGGAAATGGATGAAGGAGGATGTCAAATAACCTGCAAACACAGCGGGATTTGGCTGGAGCTGCGGGTCTGCAGCTTGAAAAGCCACACGGAGCAGAGGGGAGCACTGGGATGGCTCAGCCCGGGAAGGGGAACTGCAAAGCCTCCCCCAGCATCAGCCCTGGCCTGGGAAGAGTCCGAGCTGCTGTCCCGCTCCGCAGGGAGCACACGTGGATTCCCAGTGCTGGGAAAGGCAGGAGGTATCTCAAAGAGCATCAAGGAGTGAGAAAAAGGCAGAGGAAGGGCAGGACTCGCTGTCCTGTCCCCCACCCCCAGCACTGTTTAGGGGGCACACGGCTGCTCCGACGCTGACGACTGCGAAGTCGGTCACCCCGAATTTATTTCTAGCTCTGTCTCTCTGCCAAATCTACGAACCTTGAAGTACATGGTGCCTTTCTCCTTGACGATGGCAGCCTGCTCCAGCTTTTCCTTGGTGTCCATCTCCCACGACTCCTTGGCCTGCAAAGAGACGCTCGGAGCAATCCCAGCGGAGCCCGGCAGCCCACCCAGCACCCGGCAGGACCTGGCGGCTTTCCAGGATTGCTCAATAACGAGCTGGGAGCTCATCAGGGTGGCGTTTCAGAGGGCAGATCCAGTAGTTTTGTTAATTTGAGGGGCTGGGGACGAGGAGACACCCAGAGCAGATGAGGAGGAGAGCACCTGGAGCCCTTCACAACAGAGAACCCCCCACCATGTCCGGGACTTTATGCCGAGCAAGGTGAGGATGGCAAACCCCGACCAAATAAAAAAAAAACAAAGAAGAACAGGAGGGTGGGGAGGGACATTGCCCAGCAGAGAGGGGATGCGGTGGGTTTCGATCCCACCCCGGGCAGGGGGATGGGGTGGGGAGGGCACCCGGCCG